CCTTGCCGACGTAGTCGGCGTTGGCGAACTCCTGGATGCTCAGCAGCTCGGACCACTGCTTCCAGCCGATCACCGCGAAGCGGTCGCCGTCGTCGGGCACGTCGGCTTCGCCGAGCGCCTCGAAGGCGGCGAGCACCTTGTCGCGGGTCAGGCCCTGGGTGTCGTCGCCGACCAGATTGGTCGAGCTGTCGAGACCGGTGACGATCAGCTCGTCGGTCTTGCGGCCGAGCGCGTAGGCCCCGGCCGCCGCCACCACGTCGCGTTCGGCAACGTTGGTCTTCAGCTCGTCCATCTCGTCGACCCAGTCGCCGGCGTAGTAGTCGTAGAGGCGGCACTCCACCGGCTCGTGGTCGAGGCTCATGGTCGGCACCATGCCGTGGCGGGCCTTGGTCGAGGCCTCGCCCTTGCCGACCTTCTGGAAGGTGGTGGTGGCGCCGACGATGCCGCCCTTGGAGCGGACCGTCTGGCGCAGCTTGGAGCCCTGGCGCTGGTAGGCCAGGTGCACCTCCGCCTGGAAATGGCGGATGAACGACTGTTCGACGTCGTTCTCGGACATCGTCTCACCTCTTGGTGTCTGTCGGTTTGCGGGATGTGCGAGGGGCCGCCGGGCAGTTGTCGTCCGCGAGAGGACGGCCGTCGGGCGGCCGCGCGGCCCGCGGGCCCGCTCGGCGCGTTCGGCGCCGGGGGTTCTCCGTGGGCCGCGGCAAACGTTGGCCCGCGCTGGCGGGCGGCGCTGGTCGTTGGTAGACCGCGCAGGGAAAAAGCGGGAGGCCGCGCCCGCGGCGCAGCCTGGCCGGACTCGGGACGCCGGAGGGGAGCGGCGGCGTCCGAGGCGGCGCGGCGCGGGCGGGTCGTCGGGCGTCGGCGGACGACCCTGGAAGCGGCCTCCCGCCCGCCCGGCCGAGACCGCGCGCGAGGGCGGGAAGCGGACCCTTGCGCTCGGGACGGGCGGTACTCGGCCGGGGCGGATCTTGGACCCTGCGAGCCCGGCAGGCTGCGTTTCCCCGCAGCTTGCCGGGACCCGCTCTGCGGGGCCTTCGGCCCGGCTGCCGGGCTATTGCGGGAAGAGGCGCTTGAAGCCTTCGGTGACCTCGCGCACGACCGTGGGGTCGCGGTCGCGCCAGTAACGCGGGTCGGCCATCTTCTTCTTCAACTCCTCCTCGTTCGGGGCGGCGGCCTGCTCGGCGCTGCGCAGCAGGCTGGGCTCGCCGGAGGTCATCATCTTGTGCATGGCCAGCACGCCCTCGGCGGTGCTCGACAGGGCCTCGTAGACCTCGGGGGCGAGGGCCTTGCGGCCCCAGGCGGCGAGGCTCTTGGCCACCTCGGCCCATTTCTCCTCGCCGCCGAAATGGCCCACCAGGGCATCCATCTGCTGCTCGGCCTCGAAGGCGCTGGCCAGGTCCTCGATCGCCGGGATCAGCTTCTCGGCGGCCAGGTCGTAGACGAGCTGGACCTGTTCGGGGGTGAAGCCGGCCTGGTGGAGCCGTCGGTTCACGTCGGGGTCGACGGTGATGGCGCCGTTGCCGGGAAGCCGGGGCTGATAGGCCTCCGGGCTCTCGGGCACGCCGAGCGCCTTGCGGAAGGCCCGGCGGGTGCCCTCGTCGGCCTCGGCGCCCGGCACCTCGACCATCCGGGCCAGCTTGCGCTCCAGCTCGAGGTAGCTGCGCAGCAGCAGGTCGCTGCGCAGAGCGCCGGTCTGCGGGTCGCGGAACTTGGCCGGGATCTCGGGGGCGGCGCCGGGGCCGGAGCCCGAGGCGGACGGCGCGCCGGCGCTGGCGGTCTGGGTCAAGGTGTCGTTCAGCAGACTTGGGGTCATGGCGGTCAGAGCTCCTGCTCGGGGGACGAGGTTGGGGGGTGCATCGGGGACGTCGGCGCCGGCGTCTCCGTCGGCGCGGCGGGCTGACCGGTCAAGAGCGCCTGGAGCTCTGCCAGCAGTGCTGCCGGATCGCCCACCAGACCGCCCACCGGGCCGCCTGCCGGGCCGGCGCCTGTCGGCATGGGCCCGGCGGCCTGGCCGGGCGGCCGCAGAAGATCGCCCGGCACGCCCAGGATCTCGGCCGACCAGCGGGCGGCCCGCTCGCCATCGACCACGGCCAGCGCCTGGGGGCCGAGCTGGGCCGCCTGCTCCAGCCAGAACAGGACGTTGCCGAGGTCCTTGCGGGCCTGCACCTGGGCGAGCGGCGAGCGCTGCGCCAGGTCGACCAGCCGGCCGTCGATCGCGATCTCCGCGATCTCGCCGCGCCGGCGCAGGATCGACAGCGCCCGGCCGACCAGCGGCGTCAGCAGCTCCGCCTGCAGCCGCCCGAAGGTGGCGCCCAGCAGCCGGTTCATCTCGCCGGCCCGCTCCAGCACCTCGGTGGCGGTCATGCGCGGCGAGTCGACCGGCGCCAGCTTGTCGACCAGCAGCGCGTGGCGGATGCTGCGGCGCAGGTCCTCCAGGATGAGCTGCGAGACGTCGAACTTGCCGGCCGGCTGCAGCGGAGTAAGGCCGGCCGAGCCGACCGCCTTGGGGATGATGGTGCCCGGCTGCAGCCGGACCGAGGCCGGGTTGAGCACGCCGTCGTCGTCGGCCTGCCAGATGCCGGTCACGGCGATCGAGGCATTCTTCAGCGTCAGCTCGACGACCTTGTTCGCCGTCTTGATGTCGGGCAGCGCCTTCATCACCGGCGAGCGGCCGTAGATCTCGCCCGGCGCCTTCATCCAGCGGAAGTTCACGAAGGGCGAGTGGCCGAAGCGGCCGCGGGCGAGGACGGATCGCTCGCCGGTGCCGGCGTCGTCCGCCGTCTCTTCCAGCAGCGCCAGATAGTCGTAGGCCGCACCGTCCGGCAGCACGGCCTCGACCAGCGCGAAGCGCCGGTCCGGGGACTCTTCGGCCGCGGCCAGCAGGGCGGGCGGCAGCTCGGCCTCGGGATAGCGCTGGCGGAGCTGCGCGTGGGTCAGCTTGCTGCGCCGGAAGGTGGCGTCGAGCCGACCGTCGGGCCCTTCCTCCAGCACCGCCTCGCCCAGAGGCACGGCGGTGAAACGGAAGGCGCTGGGCGCACCCAGCGCAGTCTCCTCGAACAGCAGGCAGGCGGTGCCGACCGTGACCAGATCGAGGTAGCACTGATGCATCTCGACCGCGAAGTTGGAGCGGGCGAGGTGGCCCTGCAGCACCCGCTCGGCGCTTTCCAGAAGCGGCGCGAGCCGGCCGCTTTCCGCCTGTGTGACGGCGGGCCCCGGCGTCAGCCCGAACCAGCGCGACCAGGGCGGCGTCAGCTCGGCCAGCAGGCTGGCGGCGAGCTGCTCGACCGCGTCGGCGGCGGTGGAGTCGAACAGGCGCTCGGTCTTGCGTTCGCCCGCCGGGCGGGCGGCGAGGGCGCCGTCGCGCTGTGGCAGGGCGTAGGCGTAGCACTGATCCCAGTGGCTTTCCCACGCCGTCCGGCGGTCCTTCGCCTGGCGGAAGCGCCGTAGCACCGTCTCCGGCGCGACGGGGTCCGCTCCAGCGCCGGGTGGGCGTGCATTGGCGAGGATCGGCGACATCGGCATCTACTCCCCCAGCAGGGTCTTGCGGCGCGGTCGCCGCGCGGCTTCGGCGAGGAGCCCGCGGCGCGAGGTTGCGATGGTCGCCGAACGGCCCAGACGGCGCCGCTCGCGACTGCGGCGCTCGGCCTCGGCTTCCGCCCGGGCCCGCTCCTCGGCGCGCGAGGGAGCGACCTGCGGCTCCGGCGGCGGTGGCGGTGCGGGCAGCGGCGGCGGGGGTGGCGGGGCCGGCGGTTTGGGAGGAGAGAAAATTCCCATATCTTGCGGTCTCCTTCTGCCGCTTGCCGCGGCAACGCAAAAAGGCCCGCCGCGGCCAGGCCGGGCGGGCTGTCGAAAGGGTCGGGGGCGTGGCCTCGAGAGGCTTCGCTCCAAGACTCTGCGGTCGTTGGATTTATCTGGGTTTGCCGGGCGAAGCCGTGGGCCGCGCAACGCGGTCGCTGCGACCCCTGGGCACACTTCGGGCACGCTCGAGTTCCTGTGTAGACGGCAGAGAACATAAAGTCAACAAATTTTTTCGCGCCGGGGAGATTTTCTTGAGGTGCCGGTAGAGGGCGTAGGGCGTGACCACCAGGGGGGCGTGCAGACCGAGCGCGCGCTTGACCGCTTCGACACAGGTGTAGAGGCACGGGCCGCTGCGGCCGGCCCCCTGGTCGGGCGCGATCTCGGCGGCCACCACGCGATAGCCGGCGCGGGTGAAATGTCGGATCAGGCCGGCACGGTCCGTCCCCGGCAGGGGGCGGACCTCCAGACGATTGCAGCGAGGGTCGAGCAGCAGCCAGCCGCCACCCGTCGGCAGCAGGCAGAAGCAGTGGCGGAAACCCGGCTTCAGCCAGCGCAGCCAGACGATCTCGCTGCGCCCGGTGAAGCAGACCAGGGCGGACTGCGGCGCGGGCCGCGTGCGGCGTCTCAGTCCCATGGGGCGAGGCGCTCCGCGTCAGCCCTGGGCGGCGTGCCGGTCCGGCAGCGCGCTGCGCAGGATCCCTTTGGCCCGAAGCTGCGGTGCCATGGCATGCAGGGCCTCGGCCCAGAGGCGCGCCGCGTGGCCCTCGCGCGGGGCATAGGGGTCCGGCGGCAGGCCGCGGCGGCCGTAGTGGCGCAGAACCAGTAGGTGGTCGCGCTCGATCCGTCGCGTGCGCAGCAGCCGGTCGAGCAGGCGCAGGATGTCGGCCGGCTCGCAGGGGCGCGGCGGGCCGCCGCCGAATTGGCGGCTGTAGTGGGCACCGTCTTGAATCGCCTGGCGGGTCGCCATGAACCAAAACCAGACGTCTTCAACGGTCTCAAAGGGCTCTGGGCGGGCCTGGGTTGGTGCGGGGCCCCGACGCTGGCGGGTCATACCTGGCTCCTGAACTGCAATTTTTAGACGAGAGAAGGTTTTGTTATTTGCGTCGGGCGCGAGTATGTACGCACTATGTTCTTCCCAGCAATAGGAATATGATCTCTTTCCTGCTGCGCGCGGCCCAGCGAGGGGAGATGCTTTAACCATGCTCCGCCATTCCGATGTGTGGCACGCACTCGATGCACTGGCGCAACGCCACGGGCTGAGCCCTTCGGGCCTGGCGCGCAAGGCGGGACTCGACCCCACGACCTTCAACAGGTCGAAGCGGGTGACGGCCGAGGGCAAGCGCCGTTGGCCGAGTACCGAATCCATCGCCAAGGCGCTGTCGGCGGTCGGCGCCTCGCCGGCGGAGTTCATCGGGCTGATCGGCGACGGCAGCGTGGACACCCTGGCCCCGCGACTGCCGGTCGTGCTCGCCTCCCGCGCGGCCGCGACGGAAGACCCGTCCTTTGACGAGACCGGACGGCCGGCCCCCATGACCAGTCGCGAGATGCTGTTCCCGCGTCTGGAGGACCCGCATGCCTTCGCCCTGGAGATGGATGGGGACGGCTTGGCGCCGCTCTATCCCCGCGGCACCCTGCTGATCGTTTCGCCGGCGGCGTCCCTCGGCGAGGGCGACCGCGTCGTCGTGCGCACCCGGCAGCGGGGGCTGTGGGTCGGACTGCTGTTGCGCCAGACCCCCGAGGGCATCGAGTTGCGCGCCTTCGACCAGGCCGCCGACCGGCACCGCCTGGCGCAGGAGGACGTGATCTGGATGTCGCGGATTGTCTGGGCCAGCCAATAGCCCGGCAGAACGGCGCCCGCCCGGTCGGCGATGCAGACGCACCGCTCCCCGCCCCGGCCGCTCCCAACCCTTGCCGCTCTCCGCCCCGGCCGCTCCCCGCCCGAGCTGTGCGGCGTTGCGTACGCTGCCGCCGCCGTTATGCTGACCGGCAGTTGCGAGGCAGGCGGGTAGGGGCGCCGGCACCCGCACGCAAGACAACCGGCAAGAAGCGAGGACGGCGATGACCGCTTGGCATTTCTTCGAGGGACAGTGGCACGAAGGCAATCCGGCGATCATGGGGCCGATGTCCCATGGCTTCTGGATGGCCTCGACCGTGTTCGACGGCGCCCGCGCTTTCGAAGGCGTGATTCCCGACATGGACCTGCACTGCGCGCGCCTGAACGCGTCGGCCAGCGCCTTCGGCCTGAAGCCGCTGCACAGCGAGGGCGAGCTGCTCGAGTTGGTCACCGAGGGGCTGGAGAAGTTTCCCAAGGGCGCCGAGCTCTACGTGCGGCCGATGTACTGGGCCGAGTCCGGCTTCGTCGCTGCCGACCCGGAGACCACCCGCTTCTGCCTGTCGCTGCACGAATCGCCGCTGCCCGAGCCCAACGGCTTCGCGGTGACCCTCAGCCCCTTTCGCCGCCCGACCCTGGAGATGGCGCCGACCAACGCCAAGGCGGCCTGTCTCTATCCCAACAGCGGCCGCGCGCTGCTGGAGGCCAGGAGCCGCGGATTCGACAACGCGGTGCTCTGCGATGCGCTCGGCAACGTCGCCGAGCTGGCCACCGCCAACATCTGGCTGGGCAAGGACGGGGCCGCGCACACGCCGGCGCCCAACGGCACCTTCCTCAACGGCATCACCAAGCAGCGCACCCAAAGGCTGTTGGAGCAGGCCGGCATCAAGGTCTTCGAGCGCACCTTGACTTGGCGCGACTTTCTGGAAGCCGACGAGGTCTTCTCCACCGGCAACTACGGCAAGGTCATGCCGATCATCCGGGTGGAGGATCGCGAGCTGCAGCCGGGCCCGCTCTACCGCCGGGCCCGCGAGCTCTACTGGGATTGGGCCCACGACGGCTCGCCCCGCTGACCCGGCGGCGACCCCTGTGGCGGGTCGCTTCGCGGCGGCCGTCGGCGGTTAACCAACGGTCAAGGCCCGCCGGGTTTTAGTGCGCCCGTATTCGGCAATCAGTTAGACGGGAGCCCCGGCGTGGCCAACCTCGACATGGACGGCCCTTTCGATTTGAACCGCAGCGCGGTGATGGCGACCGTGACCGAGCCGCTGCCCGGCACCTTCGCGATCGGCCACAAGGACAAGAACGGCCGGTTCCAGGTTCAGTTCGTCGGGCGGGACGACCATAACCTGGCGGCGGCGCTGCTGCAGGCGGTGGGGCGCGGCGTGGGCAAGCCCGGGCTGGTCGGCCGCATGTTCGGCAGCAAGCTGGTCGCCAACGCCTTCAAGTTCTCCTACGCCAACTCGGTGCAGGCGGCCTACGAGAAGCAGTGCCGCAGCTTCCACACCTTTGGCGAGACCCGCAGCCTGGAAAACGAATCCCACCCGGCGCCGCCGCCCGGCTCCGGGCTGACCTGCCCGGTCTGTCGGCAATAGCGAAACGCCGGACCAGGCGCCGTGGGGCGCGTGGTGAGTCCGGGGCTTCACGCGACCGCCGGGCCCGCTACCCCTGCGCCAGGTCCTCGCCCGCCAGCGCGCGGGCAACCAGGGCGCGGCTTTCGGCCAGGCCGTAGAGGGCGAAGAAGCTGCCCAGGCGCGGGCCCTGCTCCTGGCCCAGCAGCACCTGGTAGCAGGCCTTGAACCAGTCGCGCAGGGAGGGGAAGG